GAGTGATGCCCTCCGGCGTGATGAGGTGTCCCAAGAGCTCCAGGTGGGGCGCCCCCCGAACGCACTTGGGCCGGTTGACCACGATGCCGTCGTCGTTGAAGAGGGAGAAAACGTCCCAGAGTCGGTACTCGTGGTCGGTCAGGGTGGCGCTGGCCGCCAGTATGTCGTCTTTATATACGAAGACGCCGGGAAGTCCGCGGAGGACCTCGTCCGTCATGCGTTATACGTTTGAGCAGCATTACGAAGCCCAAACGGCATACGTGTCTCATATAAACCGAATGGGGTGGTGATGGCTGTTTTGTTGATGTAGGTCGGCTCCACTGGAATTTGGTGAAAGCCTCGGGAGAGGTCCAGCTTTGAAAAGAAACTTTAACCGTGTAGGTCTGCAGAGAAGTCCTGGAGGTGTGGCACAGGATAACGGTCCGGGATGGTGACTGCGTTAAGGGCACGCTAGTCGCCGCAGACCCGCCAGTGGCCTGACTGACCCTTGGGCTTCAGGTGCAGCAGGATCGCCCGACTGCTCCTGGAGGGGCGCATGGTGCCGTCCTCCAGCAACTGCTTCACCTCGGCTTTGGCAGCGGCGAGGCGGTCAGGAGCCAGTCGGCGCGCTCGAGCCGCCTTGGGCGGGCCCCTGGTCTCAGTGAAGTGTGTGACTCCATGTTGGAGTGGAGCTCTGGCAGACAGCGGCGAAACCAGCTCAGGAAACTTGTCTCAGAGTCGGGCCAGGTGGTTGGCGCCGAGCTGCAGCCCCTGCACGCTGTTGGACAGGGGAGAACGGGAACCCGTCACCAACACGTCACCAGAGGGCAGTAGCAGCGCACGGGCGCTCAGGTCGACCGCGAGCTCATAGTGGTGGAGGAAGTCAGCTCCGATTATGGCTGTCTGGAAATCAGTAACCAGGAACCGCCATGCGAAGCCGCGGTCTCCCAGCTTGACGTCCCTCTCAGCGAAGCCTTGGGTGGTCACTGGGGATCCGTTGGCTGCGGTTATCCGCACGCTGGTGGGCTCCGGCTTAGCTCCCGCGGGCAGCTGCGAAGTTGGTAGGACACTGACCTGAGCGCTAGTATCGACCATGTAGGTGGTGTCACCGTCGCGGACATGAAGAGGCCGCCCCAGGGTAGGGGTGCCTGAGAGTTGGGGCGCGGGTACTTGGCTTGAGCGCCAAACCGTGCGTGATTATAACAGGCCCCACCCCTTGGACGGAATGGTGGCCTCTCCTGGCGGCGGTAGCTGGGTTGCCCACGGCTCTGGCTACGGTAGCGGCTGCAGGGAAGGGTTGACCCGTCTTAGCCGTGGGTCCTCTCCTGACGCATGGAGCAGACTTCCATCTGTAGCTCGCTGATGGTGGCAGTCAGGCTAGCTACAGTGGCCAACAGCTCAGTCACTGGGGCTGGTGTGGGTGGTGTGAGCAGTGCTGGCTGCTGGATGGCAGACGGGCTGGCTGGCTGGTACACTGACCTTTATGCTTCCATGAAGCGGTTTGTCGCACGGGCCAGGTCATCCAGTGTCATCACCTGGTCCAGTGTGGAGAGGGGCAGCGGTGGCTGTTTGACGCAGGCGCTGGAGGAAAAGGGTCCTCAGCAGGCCCTGGTCCCCTGGGGCATTACCGGCTGCTGACAGTTCACCATGCATCCGTCTCAGGAGCTGGAACGGGCGCTGGTTTCCCAGCTGTTGATTCCACAGCGGCGCCTCCAGACGGGACGCCCTGGAGTGCGCCAAGCGTTGGCGCAGTGCAGATGTCAGCAGCGTGTACGTGGGTGCTGGGCTGGAGATTACGTCTCGCACTTGGGCCGCCACGTTTGTATGCAGCGACGACGCCAGCACCTGGTAGCGGGCCAGGTCGTCCGCCACCACCGCGACGCCGAGGGCGCACTCCACCTGGGCCAGCCAGAGCTCCGCGTCCTCGGCGGAGAGTGGCGGCAGGCGGAGCGCGGTCACCCGCCGGGCTGGGGGGCGGGGGGGGGGGGGGTCTGGGGCCCGCCGGCGGCGGGGAGGCCGGCTGCAGTTAGTGTCGGCGAGCTACCGGAGCCACCGGGTGCGGGAGACGTGCCGTCCGGGTTCATCACTCCGAAGTAGCGGGTGCGTCACCGAACGTCGCAGTGTCGCGAGTGGCGTCACACACTGTTCGGCGGTAAGGACACACTGCAGCACCGATCAACTTGGCGTATACGCTCGGAGTCACCACATTTGTGCGTATGGGCACTAACACTTGAGCGAGTATCTTAACAACAAAGGTTTATTCGGCAGTCACTGGAGCAGCGAGCGGCCCGACCGCCGCAGACGCGTGTCGCGGTGTGAGAGAGGGAGCGGATGTTGGCAGGAGTTATCTGTTGCCGCTGACGAAAGGCGTATGAGACATTATGAAACAATTCGCTAAATGAAAGCTCTTTACAAGGTGGAACTATTTCTGTCGGCGTGAAGAAATAATTTAAATGGTAGGAAATGATTGCAGGTACAGCTGGCGGAGTTGGCGTAACAAATTCCAAGTGAAACCTGATACTGCGCAGGGCACGGCGACATATAGCGAATTGGGTGGCAGGCGCATTTTAAGTGGCGCCGCCTACAACTTTCATGACGCCATCTACGGTGGTGACACCGTCTACGGAGGTGCCGCCGCCCACAGGTGGCGCCGTCTACAAGAGCACATAGCCTCCTTTCACGGATATGTGATGACTTATACGGATGGTTCGAAGACGGATGCGGGTGCAGGATGCGCTTTTGTGTGTGGATCCACAACAGTGGTCATTCACACAGCCCGCACACGCATTGGTCTTTACTTCCGAGCTTTTAGCCATCAGCAGAGCTCTCTGTCTTATTGAAGTGAACGATAGCAATTTGCATTTGATTCTTTCCGACTCCTTAAGCAGCCTCCTGGGTGTTGGTGGCCTCCCGTCGAATCCACTGGTCCCGGACATTCACTCGCGTCTTAACTCACTGGGTCGAGCAGAAAAACGGTCGTACTGTGTTGGATCCCAAGTCACGATGGGGATCCGAGGAAATGATCTTGCTGACGAGGCAGCAAAGCGCGCTACGACAGGGGCACGCATTCCTATAACACCACTACCAGCTCAAGACATGTACCCCGCAGTGCCGTCGTTTATGCAGAAGCGATGGTAGCTCCACTGGAACTCGCTGAGCACTAACAAGCTGGAGTCCGTGAAATCCCGTATTGGACTATGGCAGTCGTGTTTTTGCGACAATAGGAGGGAAGTTGCTCTTTGCCGGTTACGCATAGGCCGCACATATACTACGCACCGTCACCTGCTATTGGCTGACAACGGACCATGTTGTAGTCGATGCTCTGGCCCGCTGACCGTGCATCACGTACTCGTCGCTTGTCGACACCCTCCTGCAATGAGAGTGCAGTTTTTCGGACACAACGTTCAGAGTCGCATGCTATGCCACTTTTTAGGGGATTGTTCGCATGCTGTCGGGTTTAGTAAAGTGCTCCAGGTTCTTTGCGCTATAGATTTCCTAGTAATCTTTTCATCATGCTACCAGGCCTGATCATCAAGGTTTTAAAGGGCGACCTGATTGATACGCTTGTCTGATTTGCAGCTCTGCATTAAATTATAGTTAAGGGCGCTGTATGACCTACAGCTGTCGATGCGCCCCAAAACCCCAAATCGTCATCACCGGAAGGCCCAAAGGTTTCGTGAATTGATAATAAGCGAAGCATTACCATTTCCTGGAGTGTTGTCCTCGCGGGAGCGAGTGCACGCGAGGGATGCCTGGAACTTCCCATTCGAGGCCAGTGTCACGGCTTCCATGCTGCCTGACCCGCTTATCTGTCACGCGCGCTATCTGGGCGCCTGGCCTGGACTGCCACGCGGGCAGTGTGACAGGCGTCCCTACGACGGACACGGTCAGAAATGAGAAGGAGAGATGGGCGGCCACTTCCGTGCGCGATGTGAGCGGGGTGCGGTCCTGACGGCGCCCGGCACGCGTGTGCGGCGTGCCCGGACCCGCCGCCGCGTCACCGTGGCGACGCCCAGCGGCTTGGTGCGACGCTGCTGGGCTGGCGGCGCGCGCCGCGTCGCGTCGCGTGACCTGCATTGCGGGCACGTGGACCGGCGGACCATACGCAAGGGGGAGGCGCAGACTCCCGCCGGATACCGGCCGAGTAACGGAACGGGCGACGGGACGACGCTCAATGGGACACGCTGGGTGAAGCTGACGGCGGTTCGGAGTGCGCGCGCTGTCGTGCTGAGCGCGGGCACACCATCGGGCTGACGGACCGACGCAATGCAACTGCGCGACGGACGGACGGATCGCAAGAGTTAACGCTTCCGATGCGCTTACGTAGAGCATGATAATGCAACAAACGTCGGATCACCACAAAGGGATCAATATAACGGTCGACACGTTGCCGTCCATCGAGCGACGCGTTTATCTGGGTCGATTCACAGTAGTCATATTTTCGGCAGGTGCTTTCAGGCCTTTAACAGGTCTTTGGGAAACGGCGAATGGTTGAGCCAGTGGTTGGTTCCCTCGCAAATTGCAGTGAGATGGTGCAAAGTTCATCCGCTTTCAGCGAATTGGCTCAATCCAAAGTCCAGCTGGAATGAAGTCCTTGCACTCCACATGGTATTTCAAGACCACTGAAGCCGTCCGTAGCGTTCGACCATGACAGGATGGTCCGCGCGCGCCGTGTGCACGTATCGCGGTTTGTAGCTAAATTCGTGTGAAGACTGCAGGTGTGAGATGTTCTACTGCTGCATATTGTGCTTAAAGGTAACGTCTCAGAGAGGAAGACATGAGAAGTCAATGGTGGAACCAGTTAACATCGTCGTCGTTGCACACTCGGTACACCGTCGTCACCAAAGCTACAGTGTAGCTCACCTGCGCGCCTCATCACCCCACTCAGCCGTCGGTGCTTGGAGTGAACTTTTTTGACCGAACATGGATGCGGCATTAACACCAGCATGCCCTCATTTGGCGTCGGGATGGCATCCCGCTTAATACGCCAGTAAGGCCGCCTCGCGCAGGAACAAATCTGATGAGCAAACAGTGCGTCTATTGATCAGCACTACACGCATCCAGACACGCGCTACAATGTGCGTACCCCTCGCTTAACCACGCTAGACGTATACGGCCACGCTTGAGCTTGATGATGCGTGAGCGACGCGCGCTGGAAGAGTGGAGGCAGCGCAGCTGTTAGCGTGGTTACCGACTGTCCTCCGACGAGCAGACCCCTGCACACCACTAGATAAACCCACACTCAATTACCCTTCAGGGACACGGACAGGCCAGACGTCCGATCGTGATCAAGGCAGATGCATGACCAATGCCGGATCATAGAAACCCCAGCACACTTCACCGCTAGACAACCCGTAGTATCACCTGTGATCATGAGAAACCTTGCTCATGCCAACACAAAATTGCTGCGTAATAAAATAGCTCGGCCAGCTTTATGGCGCTTCCACTAGCAATGTCCTAGCGCTCAAACTTAGCCATCCGGTCGTGTTGATATAACCCTGTTAATCTCAGGAAATCGCTGTCTTCTCCAAAGCACAATAGCAAACACTACTTATCATACGACTGGACTAGAGGGGTGCCGTCGAGAGCCACTCTCGACGATCCCCGCTACTGAGCACCCGTCTCCGCCTCGGGCACGCATCCCACCAGAGGTCGACGGCTGGGCTGCCGCTCCTTCGCTGCGACTTCGAGCGACCCTGCGGTGGATGACGACCAGCTCCGCGGCGGCCTCGCTGCGTTGCCGAATCCATAAGCCGCATCACCAGCCAGCGCAGGGCGTCCGCTGCCCGGGCGCCGCTCTTCACACGGAGATGCTGCCCTCGCGGAACTTGGACGAACCGATGAGCGCGTTCACCAGGACGCTGTGGCCCTGGCGAGCGAGCGCCTGGGCGCGCCGCAGCACGGTGTCGATGGCGTCATCGTCGTCGTGGTCGCCGGTGAGCGTGAGGCCGCGGCCGCCGTAGCCCTCGGCCACCTGGTCGTAGCGACAGTGCGCCAGCCGACAGGCCACGTCCGTGCCGAACATCGGCACCTGGGCGACCACGGCGAGAGGTTAGCGAGGCGGACGCCGGCGCAGTGTTGGTCCCGACTGAGCAGTGTCGGACCGCTGCCATCATACCGCCCTTCTCACCCCGGACAACTACAGGTCGCGAATCGCCAGAGCGCATGCATACAATTTGTGGAGGCATTTCGGCAATAATTGGGATCGGGCGTTCATCTTTGACTGGCGTGCGATTGGAAGCATATCAAAGTAGAGAAAGCTCAGGAGCATGTCACAGGTAATTCACGTTTCACATGCAACCACGTGGAGCTCACCCACTATCAACCCCAGAAAAGGCGAGTTCGCGGAAACACCGCCACCGACATGTGGGCAAAATGTCAGAAACACCACGAGAAATAAGGTGCAATCCTTTCGCCTCAGCATAACCCTGACCATCAGCTGAGGCCCGCCCTCCTCGCAGCCCGATCTCCCCGAGCCAACACCACCGCAGTCCACTGACCTGTTCGCGGGCGATCTGCGTCCAGCCGGCGTCGTTGCCGACCAGCGCGATGACCGGCGTGCGATGTCGCGTGAACGTGTCGAACTCGGCCACGCTGTAGCCGCACGAGCCGTCGCCGTACACCAGCCACACCTCAGCGTCGGGCCGAGCCAGCTTGGCGCCCAGCGCGAACCCGCCGCCGACACCCAGCGTGCCGAACGCGCCCGGGTCGAGCCAGGCGAGAGGCGCGCGCGGCCGCAGCACGTACGCCGCGCTCGCCACGAAGTCGCCGCCGTCGACGACCAGCAGCGCGTCAGCCGGCAGCTGCTGCTCGAGCCGGGCGAGCACGCGCAGCGGGTTTAGGTGCTCTGTGGCCGGCTGGCGTGCCATCTCGGCGTTGCGCTCCTCCTTGTCGTCGTCGCGCGCGCGCAGTGTGGCCAACCAGGCTGGGTCGGTGGCGTAGTCGGTCAGCTCGGCCGCCACTTCGCGCAGGAACGAGCCCACGTCCGCCTGCACGGCCAGTGTCGGCTTCCAGAAGAGGTCGGCGTTGCGCATCAGCTGCTCGCGGCTGCGGTGCACGGCGACGATGCGCGCGCGTCGGCCCAGCGCGCGGCCGTACGACAGCCGGAAGTCGCACACGGCGCCGGCCAGGACGATGAGGTCGGCCTCCTGCAGCGCGGCGCGCCGCTCCTGGCGCAGCTGCAGCCGGCTGCGGCGGCCCAGCAAGCCGCGCGCCATGCCGGCCAGGTAGCACGGCACGCCCAGCGACTCGATGTGGCGGCGCGTGTCGGCGGCCGCCATGGGCGGCGCCGTGGCGCCGCTGCCCACCAGCAGCAGCGGCCGGCGCGCCGCGCGCAGCAGGTCGGCGGCGCGGCGCACCTGCGCTTCGCTCGGCTGCGGCACGCTCGGCGGCAGCGGCGTCACTGGGCGCGGCTCCCACGCGCCGGCGAAGATGTTGTCCACGTAGTTTTGCAGGTACCAGTTGACGGCGCGCTGCACCGGCCCGCCGCCCGGTTTGATGCCCATCTCGCGGTGTACCAGTCGGTACGGGTACAGCACGTCGATGGGCAGCTCGACGAACACGGGCCCGGGCGTACCGCTCTGCGCCAGCTGCAGCGCGCGCCGCAGCGCCGGCGCCACGTCGCGCACGCTCGTCACCGTGCACGTGTGCTTGCAGACGGAGGCGAACAGCGACAGCTGGTCGATGTCCTGCAGCGCGCCGCGGCCCTTGAGGATGGACGCGGCGGCGCCGCCGAGCAGCAGCACCGGCGACTCGGCCAGCTGCGCGTTCTTGACGGCCGTGACGGTGTTGGTGACGCCCGGGCCGGCCGTGACAGCCGCCACGCCCACTGTGCCCGACAGCCGCGCCACGGCGTCCGCCGCGAACACGGCGCTCGCTTCGTGGCGCGTGTCCACCACGCGGATGCCCTGTCGCTCGGCGCCCGCCAGGATCGGCGAGATGTGGCCGCCCACCAGCGTGAAGATGTACTCGACGCCGTGGCCCTTGAGCACCTCGGCCACCAACTCGCCGCCAGTGCGGGGACTCTCGGCGTCCGGCGGGTGCGTCCAGATGTACAGCAGCCGGAACCGGTTGAAGAGCAGGCCAGGTGCACACTCCTACCAGCGCCGTGCCCAGGAAGGTGAACGCCAATGCTGGGTCGTCCAGGCCGTACATGGTTCTGGGTGTCTGGACTTTGGTGCTGCTGTTCACAACCTTCTTTTCATACAGCACAATGGGCCCACAATGACCTATGAGAGAAGCCAGTGTTATTTTACATTAGATTCTAGCCATAACATCAAATTACTTTTCATTTACCTTTGTGAAATTCTAACACCAAAGACAAGTCACAACTATTAATGCTGCAAGGCTGTACTATTAATGCTGCCATGTTTACATTGTGGATGAAATTGGTGACATATTAAAGCCCATGATAATGCAAGAAAAAGAATGAAATGTTCATGAGGTTTATTTCAAAGGTACTCAAGCACCAGATAGTGTAAGTCATCACAAACTCAGGCAAACAAAATCTGTAAATACAAAACAGAGATCGCAGCTTGTGGCTATTGGGCAATTTGACCCATTAATATGTGGTCACAGGAGATGAGATGGTTAACTGGATCCCAGAGGATCACCCAAGAGTGGGATCTTTTCAGGGGTTAGATTGTGTATTAACTATTGGGTTTTAAGGAAGCATCAACTGCAATGGTAGTTTGTACTCATAGATTGTGTATGCATATCTGATCTGTGCTTTTTTCATTCATCTGTTTTCAAGCTTCGCTTTTGCATCTGTTTTTTTTGCATCTGTTTTTTCATTCATCTGTTTTTGCTGTGGTACTTTAAAGCTTTGCTTTAAAGTATCACAGCAAACAGTTGAGTGATGACTGATCATCCAATCCTAGACACATGCAACCGCACTATGGGTTTCAGCCACCTTTCCTGGCAAATCCCTTAGATACCTCACCAGCAAGTGTAATGAACATTTTTGGCTTCAGGGTAATTAAGGGTACTGTTAAATTTATACAAACATCAGGGGTATGACTTTCCCGCCCATCCTCTCTCCCAGTGTTACACATTTTGCATTTGAGATAACTCACACAATGGTATAATAATCAATTAGCACATAGTAAATGGGAAATGGCATCATTCTTACTCTGGTCAAAAGGCCAGCAGGTGATGCCAGTGGCAGCAGGATGTAAAAACTGCATGCAAACAACAGGTAGGAATGAAAAATATGTTCCACTACTGATAATACAAAATGCAATAATGCATGATTTTAACCAAAACAAGAGCAATGTTAAGCAATGTCACTAGGTCAATGAACAATTCAATTGGGCTCTTAATGCTGGCAAACTTATTCTACCCAATAAGTTACATAGTTTACAATAAGCCTGCAGAGTAGCAACAGCAATTCCTGACACTAGTTGAAATACCAGTGGTGCTTACCTGGTTAACTGGGAGCATTGAGGGGCAAGTTGGTATTTTGTTATGAATGTAAGAATGGAAAATACCACCATGTTGCATCCATACTCATATTAAATGTTTAAAATAAGGGATCTATGAAAATGATGAAACCTCAATACGGCCTAATAATCCCGCAGCTGAAAACTATACTCAGGTGAACTCAGTACGCAGGTAGCTATTCGGGGCCTCTCATGAGCTGCGTGAGGCATCTACATGAAATACTTTCCATTTCGAGCAACGAATATGAATTGAGGCAGAAGGTACCTACCTACCTGATAACTTTGCAGTCGAAGACAGATGCTACGTGGCCTTAGTTCACCGTGTTATTTTTTTAATTCAGAAATGGGTACACACCCAGTCACATGGGGGCAGCCGTTGGTCTTACGTCTGTTCAATGGCCCTGGTCTTATGTATATCATGCGTGGCGCGCCACGATGAGCGAGCTATGAAAGAGGTCAGCTGGTCCTCGTGTATTGAAATGCGACTGCCTGAAAATACACTCCGGGTGTGGTGTGAGCAGCCTAAAGCTACTGCCTGAGACATTACGGGTTGATTATGGACCACGCGTAGGCGCAAAGTCGCCAGCATGTCCGACCGGTCCAGTATATTCGTACAATCATTGCCGACTCTCAAACTAGGAAATGACAGCACTGAGGCGTAGTTTCGCAAAATGAGTTGAAAAGAAACACTGAACAGACAAAAATAACTCAACCTGCTCCCTCAAAATACACAAACGAACGGGTTCGCTCAGGATATGAGCCTCTGTATTTGCAAATTGTGAGGGCTGGAATTCAAATTGGAGGGAGGGAGGCTGAGACCCCTCCCCTCTCCCAAAGGAATAGGAAACACTGCCCCTGACCGAACAATGAAAGTAAAACTCCCGAGAAAGAGCATGCCTGAAGTTCCTGTAAAGCACATTTTATTTGAAAAACTGGGCCGGACGAGACGGGAAACATTCGTTCGAGAGCGTGTGGGAATATTTTCAGCGATGTCTTGCAACTTGTGTGCAATGTGACCACGCGACCATATCACCGCCCACAGTACTGTGCCTGCAGTGCTGTGCTCAGGTTATGACATGGGTATGCGATATTAGGTACGCAGTGGTCTTACGGTATCTCTAGGACAAAAGTCCTTTTATCTGAATGCTTAAGGGTACGAGAACCAAGACATCGTTGAGGCACTCAATTGACCGTTTCTAACAAATGCCCCGCTGTTCCCAAGTGACGTCCCATATTTCTGGACTATGACTGGAGCTAGAAGCCTTTAGTTGCTGAGTTACATGGCGCGTCAACCGCAGCGGTTGGTTGTGCCCGTTAGATAGCCTTGGTTGTGCCTATGTCTTATTTTTTAGAATCGATATCAGCAGAATCATAAGCAGAACTATGTCAGCAGATCGTCATCAATGTCTCAGTGACTCAGAACACCCGTCAGCTGCGTACCGGAACCGTACAGCGAAGAAGAAGATTTGTCAGGTCAGGTAGCCCACTTTCCAATGGTGTAGGTCGGTGAATATGAAAGCTGAAGTCAATGTTTCTGAAAAGATAAAAAGTACTCAAAGATCGACCAATGGCGGATCGCCCAACAGACAGACCAGGGGAGTTTGATTCAGTTTGAGATAACGGTTCCACTCAATGCCATAGTGACGGCACTCAGCTAGTACGTCAGTCACGGACAATGGTGCTCCGCATCTGCGGCAAAGTTGTCGAGCTTCCCGGAGAGCAGGTAAGAGTGTGTCTCGTACGTGTGGCCTATGCGCGACCTGACAGTTTTACTTCGTTACTTCTTAGTTAAGCATGTGATTCCCATTCGCTGATCTGCGCTTTAATGGCTTAGATTGTTTGGTCTCCGGGTAATATCTGTATCTAATTCACCTTAAATGCCTTGTCATTGTGTTCCTAAATCACTATGCCATGCGTCCCTGAGATCTGATGCTGCAAACTTCTTACAGGTCAAGCGACGGCCGGCAGCACCTTGTTTGGCTAGGGAATCAGCCTGTCTGGCTAGGGAATCAGCCTGTTTGTGTCCGGATATCCAGGCGTGACCGGGTTGCGAGGCGAAAAACGTTTGCCATCCTGCTCCAAGGTAAGCAATGTGTGCAGTAATTCTTCAGCCATGTTGTGCTGCTGACTTACTTGCCGTAAGATCACCAGAGAACTCAAATAGTCGGAGTATATGGCGTTCATATATATATATATATATATATATATATATATATATATATATATATATATATATATATATATATATATATATATATATAGATATATAGATATATAGATATATAGATATAGATGTATAGATAGAGAGAGAGAGAGAGAGAGAGAGAGAGAGAGAGAGAGACATATATATATATATATACATATATATATATATATATATATATATATATATATATGCATGTATAAATGGCGGAACTTCCAATACACCGTATGAAGACAACGCAGAAATTCTGTGTGGTTTTCGTCCGCCATTGTATATCTTTTTCGAACATCCACAGAAATGGAAAATTACTCGGGTGTCTCAAGTTGTCATGTTGTTGCAAGTTGTCATGCCTTGCTATGCCTTCCTTTGGACCTGGAGCGATAATGTTTACCGGCAGGCATAGTTGTCTTAGATCGCATAAGTGCCCTCAAAAGAAGTAAAAGTGTTCATGGTTAGCCACATGGGACATCCGGGTCAAAACTTTTGAAATGTTTAAGGTTTTGAAGCAGCGATCCCGAAGGTGTTTGATTTGTGGGCGGTATGACAGCCTGCTATCGAGACGAGATGCTATCTAAGACGACCGCTAGGAACTTCACTTCACGACTAACTGGTACTTATTCCCCACATAGCACAAAGTGTGGGTCAGGGCAATGGTCACGTCTTCCTAAAAAAATGGAGACATACAGGTGTGACCACAGAAAATTGAAACCCATTCAGCACATGTCGTCTTCCCAATTATTTCGTATAAAGTTGGAGTTGTCGTTCCAAAGCTGTGCTAGTTCGTGCGCTAATCCAAAGGTCAGGGTTGTGAATAAAAGCGGTCTGCCTACCTGTGACAGAAGGGCTTCAGTTTTGCCATTTATCAAGATGACAAAAGTACAATGCTGAGAACGCTGTCCTGCGGAACACCGTTTTATTGTGGGCATGGGGCGGAAAGAGCCGAGCGCATACGCGCTTTGAAATACCTATTCCTAGGGAATTTTGACCATTTCATCTCATCTCATTGGGTCATCTCAAACATTCTGCAGAGACATCGGAGCATGATGCATTTCGGACACCGCAAATAATGCGTTACGAGAGTGTGTCTCTCCCGACCAGAAGTTCAAACGAGAGGATTCACAAGGCGTCTTGTGCCGGAAAAACTCTGGATCGCGTGTCCCATGTCAGGATCGTTCATAGAAAGCTTTAGCAATTGCATTCGCCACGTCAACCGAGTCCACAACTTCTGCATTAGTAATGATCAGTGTTGGAAGAGGCGTGGCTGAAAATTTCCCAGCGATGCGCTGAACTTGCCGCAGCAACTCCAAACACTCTCAACTCATGAGCCACCTTTCCTTCACTGACATCGCGAAGATGCTAGCAGTTTATGATGCCTCGAGAAAAGCTTTTTGTTTGGTGTGGTGTGACTGCCATTGGCACGCTCATGTCTCGCTTTTGACTTTCTGCCGTGATGACATATTATCGTAACCCACGTCGCGTAGCCACCGTTGGAGAACTCAACCTCTGTTGCACCGTCTCGCATCTTATCGCAGCGGATCGCTTCACCGAATCTGTCGCACCCGTTTCGGCGCTGAAACGGCGAAAGGGATGGTAGACGTTTCCCAGCGCGTCAGAAGACATGGATCCGTGGGGCAAGTGGACCTGTTGTCACCCTGTGCCTTGAACTCATCGCGGCTTGTCCATTTTTAGAGGGCGGGTGTTTTGGGGATTGGAGGAAGCTGAAAAGGTACAGAGATTTTAGTATGGACACCACGGCTCCCCGTCCACCTCGGAGCCCAACTGGGGGACAGCCCACCACTCCCTCGGTAGGTGGTCACCGCCAGGGCTACCCCGGTGCTATACGGGGCAAACGACGCGTCCTACACGGCCAGATATAACCGGGGAGGCCCCTGCCATGCTGGCCGTGGTTCAGCGCCGCCGCCCATTGACACCCGGAGCCGCTGCGGTCAGGCGCCCCAAGCGGAGAACCGCACGAAGCACCCAGCCACAGCGCGAGCGACATGCTGTTAGACCTGTGTGGGGCTCCACGGGCTGCCGTATATCCTGGCCGAAGTGGAGTGTTGGGACGCGCCGCGACTGACCCGCACGACGCGCCTCTCAGTCACCAGGATCCGATCAACCTTGGGACGCTGGCGACGGGACATGGCGACCCTGATAAAACGTGGATGGGGAGCTGTCAGAGGGCTGTATGCGTGAATACGGGGTGTGGGGAGGGAGCGGGCGGAACAAGGAGCAGGAACTCACATACCGACGGGGTTGCTCGACCCCGAAATGAACAGCTTGCACTGTCCCCCGTTACCAGAGCTGAAGTGCGAGGTGGCGCCATTCCCCTACGCCGGCCGAAGGCGGTGCCCTGCGGGGAGCATGACTGCGTGTTTCTCGATCATATAATGGCATGATCACTGCGCACAGTCTGTAGCTTGTGTGTAACGAACAGACCTTCATAATTATCAGCGGAACGCTGCTGTCGTACACCACAGCCACTTCCGCATCCGTTCCCGTAAATAGTAGCCCAATGGTTTATGGCTCGTCGTGCTATCACCCAAAGACCTTCTTCGACGTAACTGAACTCCGGGACAGTTAGGATCCCTGATCGACCTAAGAGATCTTAATGCCGGAATCCCCCATCGGCTTAAAATAACTCACTGCGAGAATATCGCCGGCTTGTGAGAACATCGCCTCCTGGAATTGCTGAAATAAACAAACCAACGGTATCATCAGCGAGAGCGCTCACTGCCGGTGCCAACGGCCAGTTACTCGTGGTCATTATAGCGAATCCCTTCTGTGTTCCTCCCATCCACAGAGTAGTCTGGCGACGTGAATTGAGCCTCCTTCGCGGAATTTGGTACTGATGCCGTCAGCAGCCCAGTAGTTTTCAACATCCATCCACCTTCTGAGAGCCGTGGAAAGACGGCGGAGAAGCACGCCTCAAGCTCCATGAGTCACGAATTCATCAAGGGCACTCCTACAAAGTGGCGTAGGTACTTGGCGAGAAGGGTCACTCGGCCATGCCTCCCCCCTTGGGTGCCGAACGGGCCGCAAGTGCTGGCCGTCATTGAAGCATGTGTTGAGCAACGGCGTGACACCGACTGCACCTTACGTACATGCACGACTGCTGGGCCCTTCTGAGACCTTCGAGCGAGTTCCTAGACCTAAAGTTGCTCTGCTCGTGTCTGAGGCTGATTGGCTGCTCTCAGTCCCACGAATGTGTCCCAAGGCAGAGAAAGGTGCCCCTAGTACTGCACAAACGCGCTTAAACCTGGAAAAGTGCTTGCCGCGCCGGAAAGCGTGCCCGGGTCTGAAAATAAGTCCCTAAATCCTGAGCCTGCGCCGCTGGGCCTGAAAATGAGTCCCTGAATCCTGAACCGGCGCCGCTGGCCTGAAAATGAGTCCCTGAATCCTGAGCCGACGCCGCTTGGCTGAAAGTGAAGTCCCCGAATCCTCAACCGGCGCCGCTGGCCTGAAAATGTGCCTCTCAGGTATAGTTCGACGAGCTTGAGCTTCAAAACGCCGCCTCCATAAAACATCGATCTAGTCCTCTTTGCTACTACTTGATAGAACACCACAAGTATGTCATCCAGTTCAATCATCTGAAAGCTATTTGCCCCTAACGATGGGGCCGGCACTACGTTCTTAGTATTTAAAGTCCAGCTACCCATTGCATGCGTTTTCCCCCCTAATGAAATAGCTCTTGTCTGTTTTTTCACCTGTCTGCTCAAATAAACGTGCAATATTACGTAAGTTGTTAAGTGCACTTGTGAGAAACATTATGTACATAGGTAAGAGAGCAGCAATAGCCTTATACCTCGTAGAAATACCGGGAGACTGGAAGTAGAGATGCGTTGATATTTCGACAGCATGTCTTTACCGAAATGAATATTGATAGTAAAGTGAAAATTGTCTGACGATGATCCTACTGAATTTTTCGTTTTTTTTTTTAATAGTAAGCAACAGTTTGTACAGGACGCTAAAATTCAGGGATTGTGCAAGGAGCAATGCCAGCCATTACGACGATACGGCGCATATCTAAGAATGAGAATACGTGTACATGTAAGCAAATTCAAGTAAACAGGCATCACGCATCACGCTTTACCCAAACATGCAAGCGATTTCACGTGAAGAGGTGTCGCGCATCAAGTGCATCACTCACATATGTAAACTTTTTTAAGCCAGCACGCATCACGAATCACAGCACGTATCACATTTGCATAATCGGCCATGATGAGCCCAGTTTAAGGTCTGGTCACCGACATTTCACAAGAGCAGATTCACTTGTTTTCCTTTCTGAATGGTCCTGTGCTCTGTAGATGACTTTGAGTTCCAAAAGTCCGTACAGGGTCCATACCTCCCAGGATTTCAGCCTGAGCGCTGCTTTGCGCAAAAAATGGTTGCCGAATGGGGTGTTCTCTGCTATTTTAGCGTCTTGCAGGTGTTCCTTATATTTTGAGCGAATATAGCGCATGGACTCCCCGACATGGACTATGACCATCACATGTTTTTCACACAGTTAACACTTAATTTCGTAAACCACGTTTTTTGCGTGCAGACGTCTTGAAACCCAGACTTGCCTAAATGGCATGTATTGCCACCTGGGCACCCAGGCTTCGAGACGAAAAATTTCACCAGAGACTTTTTAGCTTATTATCGTTCTTCCAAGCTATCCGTACGTGCAGACGTGTGTCTGAGCGTTAGACGTGTGCCTGAGCCTCAGCGTATGCAACGGCCTGGATCTAACCGGCGGACCTACCGTTCCGATGCTTGCGGGAACTTGCCCTATTACTGCTGTCTTATCTATATGAACGTGCAATAGTTTGGTGCGGGCAGTTGGATTACTTTGCAGATGATTATATCAATAGGAGTTAAATGGCACCTTCCTTTCGGACGCTTAATTTCTGACGAGCCCTGACTTGATGGAACGTTGCACTTAAACATCGATTGCCAGTTACCAAGCTTCTGGAAATCGCGACCAAAATTTTATCTAAGCCTGTAATTGAACTGAACAGCCAATCCACCGATCCAATCTGATAGATTGCATCGGATCGGCATGTCCACCGGATAGATCCTGACCTTTTCGTACGCTGACGCTTAGGCACGCGTCTGACGCTAAGACACACATCTCACGCTCCGGTACACGCCCCACGCTCAGGCACATGCCCCATGCTCCGGTACACGCCCCACGCCCCGGTACACGCCCCACGCTCAGGCACATGCCCCACGCTCCGGTACACGCCTCACGCTCCGGTACACGCCCCACGCTCAGGCACACGCCCCACGCTCAGCACACGCCCCACGCTCAAGCACACGCCCCACGCTCAGGCACACGCCCCACGCTCAGGCACACGCCCCACGCTCAAGCACACACCCCACGTTCAGCACACGCTCCACGCTCAAGCACACGCCCCACGCTCAGGCACACGTCTCACGCTCAGGCACATGCCCCACGCTCAGGCACACGCCCCACGCTCAGCACACGCCCCACGCTCAAGCACACGCCCCACGCTCAGCACACGCCCCACGCTCAGGCACACGTCTCACGCTCAGGCACACGCCCCACGCTCAGGCACACGCCCCACGCTCAGGTACGCCTTTCACGCTCAAGCACACGTCCCACACTCAGGCACGTCTGAGGCTCAGGCACACGTCTGCACTGCCCGGACGTTGTTTGCCGCCGTGACCACGACTGAGCCCGGCGATCGCTGTCGACTCCGAGTCGGCGCCGCTCGCCGCCGCGCCAGCCCGTTCGTCACGGGAATCCGCCGCCGCCGCCCCAGACCGCGAGAGGCGCGCCCTCGCAACGGTCGGCTGCTTATCCGGCGGGAAGGCCCGCCCGCGGTCACATTCGTCTGAGCTGCCACCGACAGCAGCAGCAGCAGAGATCGTGTCTATCCCGCAGGAGGGGCTGCATTTGCCGGTGCCGCCAATATGAGAACTCAGCTGATCGCGCTATCAGACCACTTCGGCGTCTCGTTCCAAATCCACGATTGTTGAGCCGGATCTGGATTTGGGTGACATGTGAGACCGGTCAGATCGCGGGTGTAAGCAGCCGGTCCGTTATATAAAACCACCGGGGGATATAAACACTGGATAGACCCAATCATTCAGACACCACGGGCTATCGGGGGAACGTGGCGGATGGCGGCACGTTCATGCAAGATTACTGAGGCTTTGTTTACGCCCGCAGCTATCATGCAAAACCCTTGCATTGCTCGCATACGTACGGCATGACAGAGCGTCATGCTTTGTTGCATGCATCTGATAATATTTGATTTTGGGGGCGCTTCGACTGTCTTGGTAATTTGGTACCCAGTTGTGTGCATCTGTTTCCAACAGGTTTTCTGGTTGTGCGACTACTCAGGGGTGTACCTCTCTATTCAGTTGGGATGGAGGACTTCAGCCCCTTCCATAACTTGCGCTTCAGTCCTCCAACCTTGAAGGAACGTGGGCTCTGCCTAGGGAAATTGTTTGTTGGCATATTTGGGAGGTAGGTTGGGTAATTTTTTATTGTTCAGTCCCCCCAAATTCATTTTGAGAAACCACCCCCTCCCCCACCTGTGATCACTGAAAACTGACCTGTACAATCTGGCGTCCAGGTGCCGGCTACCCAAGTTGATAATGCTGGAAGATGCCAACTCCGGCCTGTTGAAGGGCACCATATTTCCACAGTGTCAGCGGTCAGCCCACCCTCTGAGAGCCTGCCATCCGCGGATCATCAGTACCCATCGACCCACTTCCGCCCAGGTATTACCCCACCGGACACATCAGCTTAACCATTCGCAGGTAGCTCATGACGCGCACGGGACGGCCCTGCGCCGCTGTGGCGTCACGCACGACATCGGCTGTACAGGCTATGACGCAGCGGCGGCACAGAACGGACAGGCTCCACTACCCGAAGCTCCTCCATGCGGGCCCGATAAACTCCGACCTAGCAGCACTTTGGCACGGGATGTGTTCGACTACTCATTTCACAGCAACCCACCAAGAAGCGCAGGGAGGATGTTGTCGAAGCGCTTCTGCCTCATCGGGATCCGTCACCCTGAAGGCATAGCTGCAACTGTCTGCGTCCCGTATCCGCCTGAACGCAGCCGCCAACGTCATGCCAACAGCAGATCCTTCCGCATCCGCCGGAGGACAATGACAGGGAGCTGAGCCGACTGCATCATGATGCTCGGCGAACATATCGACACTGACACAATGAGACGGCCGGACAAAACGTAACAATTTTCCGTTGCTTTCAAGATAAACATTTAAATACTGCTATCTTCATTAGTTCCGAGCCTTCTTTAAACTGAACGTAAAAGAGCCGACACGCTCCTCACAGCCAAGTTCCCATGAAAGGGAATGACGCATGAGAGCCAGACCTTGTTCCTATAGATACGCGATGGAGGCCTCTGAGAGGTGCATTCTCGGATATCTGGCGCCTCTCGGCGACTCACTGCTCCACGGGGAGCGGAGCGGTGTCGCCGCGCAAGAGAACTCCTGAGAACGTCTCACCAGCATACACTACGGACAGCCTGGTGACGCTCAGGCGGGCACCGGCCGCGCCACGGCGCCACCAGGGGGCCAGCCGCCGACCTCAGTGGAAGCCTATGTCGGCTTACACGTGGCCAACTCAGCTGCCACGCACCTGCTGCACTGTTTGGGCAAGCATCGAGTGCAGTGAAGGTGGCTTTCTCTCGTACCCGATGTGCCAGAAGAAGTGCCAGAAGTCCGCATGGGGCTCGAGGCTGGCCGTATATTGACCCTGCCGTGGAAGACTGAACACCGATGTAGCCCTGTCGCCCGTGGTGGACGACAGGACGTACTTCCATCAGCGCCGAAGACTCGTATTTGCAGCGTTTGCAGTTGTGTAGATTCGAGTGCTGCGAATGCTTCAATCCCGAAGCAACCATTCGATCCCTGAAAACCAGGACATTAAAAATAGAAACCATCACTAAATCCTGAACGTCATCGTTTTAATTTGTAACTAAAAGCACTGAAATACGCTCCAAACCCATTTTTCAGATAATGATTTAAGCAATATGCGTTGGCACTCGATTGGACTTAATTGCCCGTTCTACCTTTCGTTGCACTGCACTGGGTTTTGCCGGACCTAGTCATTTTCTGTCCGGACCGGACCTAGTTCACCGCCGACTATGGAGCCCTGTTTACTATTTTGATGCCATCAATCATCAAGGAATCAATGACATCAATTACCACTTCGTAAATACCGAAAATGAAAGCTTTAGCCAGAAACCAATAAAACCGATTTAAAAGTGAAAGCAGCACAGCGTTAAAGTTTCGAAACTTTGATGCTAAGGTTAGGATCTATGCGAACAGATTCAAGTGTCGAATATAAATACAAATCTAATAACCATATATTTGAATCTTGATTGGAAGTGAGTCTTTAGCTCAAGCCTCCATCCGATCCTTGGTTCGTGATCTAAGAACGCATCGAATCATATGTAGAATTTAATGCCGCTCACACGGATGACGCTAATTATAGATGGGGCGGGCGTTCTAGCCAGAAACCGGTTCACACAGCAGTAAGTGAGAATGGAAACTTGTGTTACGGCAAAACCTGTCGCGATAGGCAACACATCGTCTGGAACCATCCCTCAACCTTGGCCGCGCGTTGCAGCAAAGCGACCGTCACTACACCTGCGGCCAGAGTGGTTTGTTCCTTGACGGACCCAGCCCGCTGCAGGTCCGGTCCTGCCCCGTCTCTGCCTTCCACGACTCGTGCCCGGACAGCCCGGCCCTTGAGCCGGCGCCAGTCTCGTGCCGAGAGCCGCCGGAAGCCGCCGGCTTAAAAGCGCCTCTCAGCAGGCGGGTCAGGAGCGACGGCAGGCGGCGGCGCGGGACAGTCCACAGGCGGCGGCCACAGCAGCACGGCGCCGCGCTGCTCGACGCGGCTGACGGGGGCGGAACCACGCGGCGGTGACGCGTCGCCTGGTTCGGTGTCGCGCCGCGGCAAGCCCGCACCGCCATTGTTTATCGCTCGGTCCGCAAGGCCACAGCGCTGCGAGCAGACGCTTCCCGGGAGCGATGTCGCGCTCTGGCGCCGGGAGAAGTTCAGCGGTGGCAGTGACTGCACGCGCTGACGTCAGCGCTCCGAGAAAGGTGTGCAGCTAACGGAGCAGTGAGGGCGATAGCGTGTGCCCGCCAGATTCGGCTGCACCGACGGGCGCGGAACGTGGTGAGTGAGTCGGGTCTGTCTTTGTCGGGTTACGTAACCTCACCACGCACGAGCGCACGGCTTGGTGCCGACAGCCCATAGCCGGTGGACGCGCCGCGCCGGCCAGACCCTCGCCGCCGCCATGGGCCCGGAGGAGTTCCGTCGGGCGGCTCATCAGCTGATTGACTACGTGGCTGACTACCAGGAGACGGTGCGCTCGCGGCCGGTGACGCCGGACGTACGGCCCGGCTACATGCGACGCCTGGTGCCGGCAGCGGCGCCCGAGCAGGCCGAGTCCTGGCCGGACGTGATGGCCGACATCGAGCGCGTCATCATGCCGGGCATGTCGCACTGGCACTCGCCGCAGTTCCACGCCTACTACCCCGTCGGCAATTCGTACCCGGCGCTGCTGGCCGACATCCTGTCGGACGCCATCGGCTGCGTCGGCATCTCGTGGGCGTCAGCGCCCGCCTGCACCGAGCTCGAGGTGATCATGATGGACTGGCTGGGCCAGCTGCTGCGGCTGCCCGAGGAGTTTCTGTTCAGCGCCGGCCGCGGCGGCGGCGGCGTCATCCAGGGTTCGGCGTGCGAGAGCACGCTCATCACGCTCCTGGCGGCGCGCTCCTGCAAGGTGAATCAGGTACTGCGCGCCGACGGCGTGGCCTGTGAGGACCACGACGGCGTGGCGGTGACGCCGGACCGCGCTGCGCTCCTGCCGCGTCTCGTCGCCTTCGCCTCGGACCAGGCACACTCGTCGGTGGCGCGCGCCAGCCTGCTCTCGGGCCTGCGCATCCGCACGCTGCCCTCGGACGACGCCGCGTCGCTGCGAGGCCCGACGCTGCGTCGCGCCGTCGAGGAGGAGATTCAGGCCGGTAACATCCCCTTCTTCGTGCTGGCCGCGATCGGCACCACGGCATCGTGCGCGTTCGACAACCTGCCGGAGCTGGGACCGGTGTGCGAACGGTATGGCCTATGGCTGCACATTGACGCGGCGTACGCCGGCGCCGCCTGCATCTGTCCCGAGTTCCGGCCGCTGCTGAACGGACTCGAGTACGCCTCCTCCTTCAACTTTAACCCGCACAAGTTCATGCTGACCAACCTCGACTGCTCGGCACTGTGGGTGCGCCGCTCGCGCGACCTCACCGACGTCTTCGAGGTAAACCCCTTGTTCCTGAAGACGCCCGCCTCCGACATGCCGTCCTACCGCCACTGGGCCATTCAGCTGAGTCGGCGGTTCCGCGCTCTCAAGCTCTGGTTTGTCATGCGGCTGTACGGCGCTGAAGGGCTGCGCGCACACGTCCGTCGCCAGGTGGCGCTCGCCAAGGAGTTCGAGGGTCTGGTGCGTGCCGACCCACGCTTCGAGATCGCCGCCCCCGTCACACTAGGCCTCGTGTGCTTCCGGCTGAAGCGGTACGGCAACATGATAAACGACCATTTGCTCTCGCGAATCAACGGCGCCCGTCGCATCCACATGGTGCCGTCTATGCTGCCCAACGAGACGTACGTCATCCGCTTCGTGGTCTGCTCGCGCTACACCGAATCGCGTGACGTGCAGCTGGCGTGGAGAGAGGTGCAGCGGCACACTGACGAGCTGCTTAGCTCGACGGAGGTACTCAGCCGCGCCAAGATGCTGTGGGGCAGTGTGCGCGCCGCCAGCATTGGACTGCGCCTCTTCCACAGTTGGCACTCGGTGTAGCCAGCGTCGGCCGTGCGTACGGCTAACGCAGCGCCTTAGCTGCCCAGTGCTGCCAGTCCTGTGGTTCTGTGCGCCATCCTTTCCCCCCGGGCCCCTTCCCGTCACTCTCCCATCGTCTCCCCGTGCCACTCGCCGGTGCTCCCCCTCCCTCCCCCCGCCGTCCTTGCCTGCGTTTCTCGATGGTCGTCTCCACTGGCCGGCTTCCATCGCCCGCCGTCTTCACATCGCTCTCCGTCACTTGAGCTCATCAGTCGGCTGACGTCGCCGTCCTCGGCCAAGGCCCGCACCGGGCACGCGCCGCCCATCGGACGTCATCGGACGGCAGTGCGGCGCGGCGTGACGCGCGCAGCCTCAACAAGTCACATCCGACGCGAGGCAGGCGCCGTAGCCAGCCGATTGAATATCCGGCCGGCCGCCGGGCGCCGGCGGGAGTCGCTCGCACGGCGCGGCTATCGAACGTCCACGACACCAAACACTGGCGCCTCCGATTGGCCAATATTTGACTGAGGGAAATGTTCGCACCCCACTATGGCCAAATGGTGACTGGGGGCAACGTCTGAGCCGTGACAGTGATGGACGGCGTCTTGAATGGAATGCTGGCGCCGCGGCAATGTCAGATGACTGGCAGGAAATGTGTGTATCGTCGTGGTGGAGCTGGACGACGACCGGCGCGAACTGCGGCCATCATCCCAAGGGAAAACATGTGCACGTTGACAGACCTCACCACACCGAGTTAGAAAGGTTCGCGCCGTGCGATAGGCAATAGGGATTAGGCTGGAAAAGTTTGCACCGTGCAAGAGCCCAATCATAACCTGCAACAAATATCTGAACCGCACCAAGGTTCTTTACCAACGTTTGAATCTGGCGTGGCGATGCGGTTGTGTTCATTTCCCAAAAAGTCCGCACAACATTTGACGGGGCTTGGCCCTCGCCGAATGATCACCGAATGATCGTTCCAGCCAACCGGCCTAATGCTCCATTGTTGCCAAGCGAAGTGAAACGATCACTCGTGATGGACCGAAGTCTGGTTCGTTTAAGATGCATTCGCCCCGCGTTTTTAAGAACAAGATATTTGCATCTACGACATTGTACTGTGGTGTGTCATGCCTCGCAGATTTGTGTGAATTTTACACTTCGAGCCCTCAATATGCATCTCCGTTGACGTTTTAGCTTGGGCTCAAGTGATTTTGGCCGTTCGATTGTCTTATTGCGTTCAAATAGGTCCATTGGCTGGTGAGAAATAAGATTGACGATATAAGTAAGAAGAATGTCATGAGTCGGTGGCTTTCGTCGTTGTGAGACAAAACAAGTATTACCAAAATGCAATAAACGGGGAGAAACATGTTTGTGTTTAAACAGATAATGGAAAAAGCCTTTGTATAAGCTGTATAGAAAGTCGTGAGTTAGAAAGCAAAAGTTTTTAGCAAATGCAGCGAGACTTCTCATATTCGTTTTCAGGAGAGCGAAAGGGAAGGGCGCGACACACGCAATGACTAGTTTGAAAACAAACATGGATAGAGAAAGTTTGCGTCTTATATGGTGCTTCGTACCTGTGAGCAGGTCAAACAACACGGCAAGAAAATCAGGTATGTTTGAGCTCCAGCTATCCTGGGGCGATGCGGACTTAAAGTTTGAGGTTCGTAGCCTTAAATCACTGGTGCGAATTTAAAAAATAAAAGATGTCCACAGCATTTTAGGTGCTCCCAGTCTCTGACATGGCCATTGTGTGGGATAGAAAAGATACAGTCTGTCAAATTTACGTAAGTTGTTCAGTGCATTAGAGAGAAACTTTATTCACATAGATAAGATAATAGTAATAGCCTTATTCGTTGGAGAAAAACCAGGAGATTGGAGTTACAGTTCGGTCGATATTTCGGCAACATGCCTTTATCAAAACAATAGCAGAAGTGAATTCAAAATTTCTGCCGATGATCCTACCCGATTCTTCAGTTGTTTTTTTACAACAAGCCACAGTTTTTACAGGACACCAACATTCAGGGGATTAATCAAAGGGTAATTGCCAGTCATTACCACAATGCTGTACCTACCTAATAATTAAAATATGCGACCATATGTGTACATGTAAACGAATTCAAGCAGATAAGTATCACGCTCATCGCGCATCAATTACGCATGCAAGCGATTTCAGTTGAACAGGCATTGCACATCACGCGTCAGGCATCACGTACACATATAAACGATTCTAAGTTGCACACATCACACATAAAGACGCATATCACGCTCGTATAATCGGCCATGATGAGGCTTGTATGTTAAGATTTGGTCGCCGACTTTTTTATAAGAATGGATTCACTTATTTTCCTGTCTGGGAGGTCCTGTGCTCTGTATCCTGTGCTTTGAGCTCAGAAAGGGGCATAGGGCCCATACCGCCTTCGATTTCAGTCCGAGCGTATTTTGCCAAAAAATCTTCACCCAAAGAGGTATCCCTGTTTTTTTTTAGCGTCCCGCAGGCGTTCATTATATGTCAAAGGAATAGGGCGCTTAGACTTCCTGACATAGACTATGCCCCTCCAGTGTTTTTTACACAGTCTACACTTGATTTCGTAAACCCCGTTTTTGCGTGCAAACCCCTTGAAAAGCAAAACTGCATAAATGACATCTATTATCACCCGGGCACTTAAGCTTAGAGATGAAATATTTTACAACAGACTGTTTTAGCTTATTGTCGTTCTTACAAGCTACGCGTACGGGGAGTTTTGGTTTTTTAACAATATGTTTGACTTTTCAGAGCAAATGCTCATCCATGTAAGGTAGCGTTAAGAATCCGTCTTCCGGCACGACGTGTTCCCGCCTACTACCACCCGTCCCCCCGCGCGCTCTAGACTTTTTCACGTCCTCTAACATTCTACCTAAAAGTCGAGGATAATATCCATTTCCCAACAGCAAAGCCCATAATTTGTTTATACCCTTACTTGCCTTTTTACTATTGCATGAGTTGTTTAGAGCCTTATGGAACATGTTACGAATTATGTTGTGCTAAGTGGAAGTTGGATGCGCAGATTCGCGGTGCAGAATCATGCCAGTGTTGGTGGGCTTGATAAGGAGCCCGTTTCAAGCGTTGTGCGATTGTTCCTCCTTTCCACCGTCACTAACATATCTGAATATGGAACACCTTTTCCGTCCCCTGTATGCTCCATCGCAAAAGCTAGATTTGGATGCTGACTATTCGTGACCTCTAAAAGCCCTTCAAGGGCACGCTGTCCGTGCGTCCATACCCCAACATAATCGTTGATGTATCTAGCTAAGACAGTTGGTTTTAATAGGCTGGCGGCCGGGGCCTTTGTTTCAAATTGGTGTAAGGATATCATCGCCAGAGGAGGAGGGCATGCGTTCTCCATTGCTATTCCCAATTTTTGTCGGTAGAGGTCATCTCCGAACGAGAAAACATTATTCTGGAGATACTGTTCTAAAAGACCGCAGATACCCTCTTTTGGTGGACTGAAAGCGGCAGTTACGTGGAAGTGCTTGTCTACCATAGCTTTCACGGCAGCGACAGCCTCATTGACTGATATATTGCTATATAATTCGACAACATTTACACTGAAGAAAGTCGGGTAATCCTTCTGCCTGCGAATGATTAGAAACCTTTTTCAAGAAATGTCTCTGGTGTTCCATATATGAGTAGAAACAAACGTCAAGAGTTGGCTGAGTATCTTCTCTAAAAGACACGAAGTTCTTTTCTGTAAGAGCACCGCACGTAGATATGGCAGGTTTAAGGGGCACTGCAGGTTTGTGATCTTTAAGCAGCCCGTAGAATACAAACGCTCTGCTGTGTCTAGCAGATAAATCTTTGATGGTTTTGTCCGAAAGTTTTCCGCTAGCTGTGCTTTTTAGTGGTAACAGATGTAATTTATGCAGTTCTGCGTTTCAAGGGGTTTGCACGCAAAAAGCAGGGTTTACGAAATCAAGTGTTGTGTGTGAAACACGTGGGAGAACATAGTGTATGTCAGGAAGTTCATGCGCCGTATTCGTTTGACATATAATGAACACCTGCGAGACGTTGAAAACAAAACACGGGAGACCTCTTTCGGTAGCCTTTCTACGCCCGGACTGAAACCGAGGGAGGTATGGACCCTATGCCCCTTTCAGAGCTCAGTCATCTACCGAGCACAGGATCTCCCAGACAGGAAAATAAATGGATCTATTGTTATTAAAAATCGAGGACCAAATATTAACATACAGAGCTCATCGTGGCCGATTATGTGAACGTGATATGTGCCTTTATGTGTTATGTGCTAGCTTAAAATCGTTTATATGTATAAGCCTGATGGCGTGATGTGCGATGCCTGTTCTATTGAAATCGCTTGCATGTATAATTGATGCGCAATGTGTGATGCCTGTTACTTCAACCTGCTTGCATGTTTAAATGACGCGTGATGCATGATGCTTGTTTGCTTAAATTCGTTTGCAGGTGCACGTATGTTCGCGTATTCTAATTTTTAGACAGGCGCTGTATTCTGGTAATGGCTGGCAATCGCTCTTTGTTTAATTCCATGAATTTTGGCGTCCTGTAAAAACTGTGGCTTGCTGTTAAAAAAAACTGAAAAATCGAGCAGGGTCATCGCTAGGCAAATTTGAAGTCGCTTCTGCTATTGTTTCGATAAAGGCATGTTGCCGAAATATCAACCCAACTTTATCTCCATTCTCCTGTTTTTCTCGGAGGAATAAGGCTATTATTACTGCCTTATCAGTCAAATTTAAAATGACGCAAACAGTAGTGACAGGGTTCCAGTTCTACTAATAATGTGGGCTTGGTAATTTACAAGAGTAGACCAACATGTCACTATCAGAACGCGCGGACACGTTTAAGACACTCAATGAGTACCATGGAAGCCATGAGTACCATGGGGCAATGTGCATGCTTACATAGCCGTAATCGTGGTCATGCTAACCAAACACCTATCTCATAAATCGCTGATGATTTATTCGGCGAACTCGTGTGCCTGGAAACTAAGCCACTCCCGTCAGCGAGCATGGCGGCGGGCTGCAACAGACCTAGGTTCAACTCCAACTGGACACGGAGACCAGGCACCGTTCGGGGTCCTCAGCCACTCAACTTGAATACACTGCGCCTCATTCTTTACAGTTAAACCCTCTGAAAATCAGACTCACAAAGTGCACAATAAATGACACAGGCTCTGAGATTCGAATTAATGTCAAAGTGAAAGCCTGTCGGCTTGGAATTAACCCCCCCCCCCCCTTCCCCCTCCCCACCCTCCCGCAAAACGTGAGACTCGTACTCAGGCTGAGCCTTCGTAGTGCGACCGCCAACAAGCGTACAGAAAACGTTAGCTATCTATAAAGACTAAAAAAAGCATGTCGAAACCCATAACAACAACGGTGATGCATCTCCTGGCACGAGCTTGCGGGGTTCACGTACGTCCACCATGTGAGGACGCCTGACACGAGCTTGCGGGGTTCACGTACGTCCACCATGTGAGACGCCTGACACGAGCTTGCGGGGTTCACGTACGTCCACCATGTGAGACGCCTGACACGAGCTTGCGGGGTTCACGTACGTCCACCATGTGAGACGCCTGACACGAGCTTGCGGGGTTCACGTACGTCCGCCATGTGAGGTGCCGTGCCGGGGAAATAGAAGTGACAGTAGTTTAACGCTGCATGCTTTTTAAGATTCAGTACAAAGTTTTTGAATGGACGGATTTCTGGGCTTAGAGCCCACGCTAAACAATGCTTGTTGCGCGAGCTCCGGCCCCACCATCCATCGCTTGTTTCAGGTCAGCAGCAGAATTTGGTGGCCAAAGTTTAACGCGCGCAGTGCTAGGCACGATTCGTCCTGCCCTCTGACGCCGCCAGACCTTTAGCACGGCCGCATCCACCGAACGCAGATCATCCCAGTCAAGAGCAAATAGCGAGCGTCTAAAACGACCCGAACCCACCCCGCCACGGACACTTGAATGAGTCAGATCGTCTGTCAGGATCCCCTCACACATATCCATCGAGAGGCTCATGTTGACATGTTGAAATGCTGGAATGGCCGACGAAAAAGAATGGTTTTCATGACATCGCTCAGCTCTCATATTCAGACGGAATTTTAAGAAAAACGTTTTCATGATGTTACACGTATTCAGTCGGATCTCATACTGCACGGGAGCGATTTTCCCGTGGCGTGAGCTCACAATCGCGAGGCGTCTCTATCTGCGCCTGGTCCTGGTCTGCGCCTGGTCCCTGCTTTGCGTGCCTGCCTCCTATTCATTGCAGAGTGTTACGCCGGACTCCTGTCCTTAATTCCTTCTTATTTGGAAGAGGTGGTTACACTGTTAACCACAAGGTCAGCCATCTGCTCGCTC